ACAGCGGGTCAGGCCACGGCTGCAGGCCCTTCACCGAGTCCAGGGGCTCTGAGTACACGCTGGAAGGGTCCTCAGAGGGTGGCACAGCGCGGAGCACCTTGGGCAGAGGGGAGCGTGGGGGCGTGCTGGACACCGTGGGCTTGGCCGGTGGCACGGGCAGCTCTGGCAGAGTCCGGCTCTTCAGCAGGGCTGTGGCATCTCTCTCCTCTGCTGCTGCTGCTGCACCAGCCCTGGGTGCCAGCCCTGCTTTGGGGTCATCCCCCTCAGCAGGCAGCTCCAGGTTGAGGCTGTCAGCCAGGGCCTGGCGGATCTGCACCATGCCGGGGCTCTCGGCTTCCAGCGAGTCACAGCTCTGCCGGTTCTCCTCCACCTGAGCCTTCTGCTCCTGGATGGAGGCTTCCACCAGCCGGAAGATCTCGTTGCCCTGCTTGGTCTCAAAGGTGAAGTTGCCAGGTCCTGAGTCACAGCGCCTGCCAGCCTCAAAGGAGAACATCACCTGAAGGGGAAGCAGAAGGGGCACGTCCTGCTCAGCACCCAAGGCTGTGCTTCCCACCAAAGGCCGTGTGGCTGCAGCACTGATCCTGCACACCCTGAAATCCTGCTCTAAAATCCTGCCCTGAATCCTGCTCCTTCCACTCCCACAGCAAGGGCCACCCTGTGCCCAGCAGCTGGGCAGGGATAGGCCACACTACAAGCTGCAGCACATCTGAGGGACATCACTGTGAGTGCCCCAGAGAGCTGCAGCTCCTGCTGGAGCCCTGCTGCCTTACCCGAGCAGTTTCCAGCAGTTTCTACTACCAGATAGTCTAGGAAACAACACTGAGGCAGGAGTAGGGTGAGAAGGTGACAGTTCAGCAGGGGAAACTAGTATGGAATCTTAGGAAAGAAGGGAGTGCTCTGGAAGCAAGAGATACAAGAGGATGAACACAGCTTTCCACAGGAGAAAGCTCAGCAGCAGCTCAGTTACCAAAAGTTAGCAAAGCCTTGACCTACCAGCATTAATCTGTTCATGGTAAAAGGTCCTTTAAAGAGAAGTCTTGCACCAGGGCTGTGCTTCCTCTGGCCTGAACACTCTGGTGAGCAGGTTCCCACCAGCTGACGCCCACACCCTTCCTGAACCTCAGGATTTTCTGCCTCTCTCACAGGCAGCAGCAGCCCCTGTGGTTGCTACAAAGCTCTCTGGGGACAAACTCCTTTTTATGGGTCAGTGCTGCTGAACAGAAGCACAATCAGACCCTCTCTGCTCAGGTCACTGTGGGTGCAGCTCCCCACACCCTGCAACTCTCCTCCTGCCCCCAGCACAGCTCTGCAGATGAGCTGGACACCCCACAAGGGCAGCTCGGTTTCCACCTGTGCTTTGGGAATGTGCTGCAGAAAGCACCATAAGTGTGTGGCCCCTGCTATAAGCAGCCCCAGAACACCACTAAACAGCCCCAGGAGACCACTAAACAACCCCTGGACACCACTTCTCCCTGTCCAGCATGGCCCTTGCACCCAGAGTAGCAGCAAGGCAGACTGGGGACTCACTGCAAGAAGACTCTGGAGAGGGCCAGACTTTCAAAGGTCAGTGAGAACTGGAGCAGTTCCCCCCCACAGAGTGAAGAAATCCAGAGAAACTGGTGTCCCAAAGCCCCTCTGCTCTGGCCACCATGCTTAGGAGGGAGGGACTGAACCCAGGGCAGAGACAGGACTGCCAGGAGCAGCTCCTGGAGCCTGGGGACAGCGTGTGTGCAGTGCTGAGGGACGTCCCTGCTCCTGGCACAAGCTGGGAATTGCTGGGATGGAGAAGGAGAGCAGTGGGACAGCCACAGAGAGGACGAGTGTCCCACCATCCCACGCTCCAGCACAGTGACACAGGCAGGACCTGGGGACAGCCAGGGCCACCAGGGGCTGCAGCAATGCTGGCTGCAGGCCATCAGCCTGGCCTTGCACAAGGGAGCAGCTGCAGCACAGCACAGTGGGGTCCCATTGCCCACCTTGTCCCGGCCGTATCTGCGCAGCAGCCGGTAGGGCCACACGAAGAGGATCCTGTCTGTCCGTGGGTCCTTCAGCACCAGGCTGTCCCTCTCAGCCTTCAGCACGTAGGTGCCACGCAGCTCACAGCGCTCTGCAGCCTCTGTCCTCTGCACTGTCACCCAGAAGGCGTTCACTGTGGGGACAGGGCTGCTCAGAGGACAGCCAGCTCCACTGTGGGGACAGAGCTGCTCAGGGACAGCCAGCCCCACTGTGGGGACAGGGCTGCTCAGGTGACACACATGGCTCCACTGTAGGGACAGGGCTGCTCAGGGACACACATGGCTCCACTGTGGGGACAGGGCTGCTCAGGGACAGCCAGCTCCACTGTGGGGACAGGGCTGCTCAGGTGACACACATGGCTCCATT